GAATCAATATTGGTTGCAAGGAAAGTTGCTGGATTTGGGATCAACAGGTGGCAGCTCGTTAGGGATAAAAATATTGGCATAAGTCTACGAAGCGATTCAACTGTAAATGTTGTAAAAGTAAGGAAGGAGGGCGCTTGCTCGCTTGCTTTCTAACTTCTGCTCTGGGCTGCCAAAAGCCAGGCTGGCTTGCTTCCCATTCCCTGATGTCTGGGAATGCTGCCTTCGTCACCCGAGAGAGGTTCCCATCACTTGGAGCTTCTCCCCCAGGGCCTTACAGCCCTTGTGCTTTCTTACAGAAGGAGGCCAGAAAGCCGGAGCAGGGGAGTCTGGAGGACCTGGCTGAGTCTAGGGGCAGCGATGAGACGGACAGGCCAGAGGCACTGTCCCCACAGCCTTCCGAGCCAGTCTGCATTCAGCGACGGTCGCCTCTGATCCGGAACCGCAAGGCTGGCTCCATGGAGGTGAATCAGGGGAGTTGGAAGTGGAGACGGGGAGTGCTGAGGCATCTCGGCCGCTCCCCCTTCCCCTTTCCCTGTAGTCCAGCCAGGGGCGGTGCAGGAGGATGGGTCTTCTCTTCCCTTCAAGAGTTGAGCTGCTGCATCTTGTGTCTCTGCTTTCTGCAGGTGCTGTCCGAGTCCTCCAAATCTGGCGGGTACCGCCTCTTTTCCTACTCCAGGCATTCGTCCGAAGGGAAACAGAGCGGCTTAGGTATAAAGCATTCCTCCATGCCTGGACAATCCCTTTCTGCTCCCTCTTGGATTGGTCTGACATGCGGCAGCACTTTCTGGAAGCCTCGAGGCTGGACCCTGCTCTGAGTCCAACGCTGAGCACTTGAGCAAGCAGGAAGGGAGGGGAGCTCGGTTCAGCCATTGCAGAAAGGCTAATGGGGCACGAGAAGCAAGAGGCAGAAGCAGCAACCCTCAACATTTGTCACAAAACCGACCTCTAAGGTGGCTCCTGATAGTTTTGAAAAATAGCTTGATCCAGCTGAGAAGGTGGAGGGCTCCTGCTGTGAGGGAGCGCTGTCTTGCTTTCTTCTTTGGAGTTCTTGTCCACCCCCAAACAAAGGGACCTTTCACTCTAAAGGTTAGAGTTAGGTTGGCAGAGTTGGAACAGTCTGGGTGGGCTTAGAATACATCAGTGATCCTCCCCACTCAGGAAGTTGCACATTTTCCATTGATGCCTTCTTGAAGATAAAGCAGCATCCCCTCATGATTGAAGAAGGTACATGGGGAATATTCCTTTGCTCTGCTGCTTCTCTGGCCCTTGATGTGGCCAGAGAGGACTTTCCATCAGCCTGAATGCTCTCTCGGGGCTTGGGAACAGCAACAAGAGAGCCTCTCTTTTGGTCCTCCATCTGACAATAGCCTGGGAAGGCACCTATGTTGGTTGGGTTGCCTTGGTAAGGCTGCTGTTGTGCCTGACCCCTTTGTTGGGCATCAGCACCCCTGCCTGTGCTGCTGTGGCATTCAGATGATTCACCTGTGGCCAGAAAGGGACACAGACTAGTCTTTGTGTCTTCCCAGGATACACTGATGTCAGGGCAGCCATGCCTGTTTTTCTAACATGCTCCTCTGCTCTTTTACCTCCCTTGGGTCTGAGCAGAGAGGCAGAGCTGTGCTTCCATTTGGGGAGGGGGTGAAGGGAGCCTTAAAGATGGCTGGGCCTTAGGCACGCTGGGTGCTTCAGTGAGAGGAAATCGTTCCTGCAAGGAAGATTTCTGGGCAGCCAAGAGCCAGACTGTAAAGCAGCACTAACTCTCAGGAGGAGATGGTGACCGTGTCTTGCAGCAAGTGGGAAAAGCCACGATTCCCTTCCATCCTGCAAGGAAGCCTAAGAGGACGTTTTCATGGGGCCAGGGAGATGCTCCTCCCAATGAGTAGCACAGAGAGAGGGTGGGAACATTTCCAGGAGGCAGACTGGAATGAGTTCTGGAATGAGTTAGTTCTAGTCCTGGCTGGGGGACTTTGGGCCAGTCCCTCTTCTCAGGAAGGAGGAGATAAAAGACAACCCCTTTCTTGCCAAGAAAACTGCAGGGACTGGTCCAGGCAGTTGCCAGGAGTCAAGACTGGAAAACGCGCGCACACACAAGCCAGCGGAGTCAAGGCCAACCAAGCATCAATGGTGGCGGTGGTGGGGAGGTCATTCCAAAGTGTCACTACAGAAGAGGCACACCTTCCTTATTTGTTTGGGGCTTTGTCACCACACTGCTGGACTAGAACACCAGTGAAGAGGACCTGGCTCTAGTCCACTGATCCTTAGAGAAGAGGAAGGGGAAGGGATCCTGCATGAAGGACTTATTTCTGTAAAGCTGATAAGCTGCTTTTGAAAGGCATTAGAATCCTACAAGCTAATTCTGAACTTCACTTAAGGATTTTTCTTGGACTATTCCTCTGCTTATTGCCAACATCTTGAGTACCTGAATCAATCACTGCTGTGTCCTCCCTTTTTTTTTTCTGGCCAAGTGTTCCAAAGTGAAAAATTCTCCCCAGTTTTCATTATTGCAACCTACTCAGCACTAGTAATGGTCCATGACTGTTTTCTGCTGATGCTGTTTGTCCACAAGCCAAGGTCAGGAGCCAGGCACACCCTCCATTGGTTTTCTGCTGGTCCAAAGTTTGGAGACACCTTCTCCTTGTCCTTTAGCTGGGTGAGAAGCGCTCGCGGTTGTGTCTCGGATCTTTGGAGCCGTCCTGTGCCAGGGTTTGGGGAAAAGGGACTCTGCTCGCCAGTGCAGTCAGATTTCTTTTTCATGACCCCAGATCTGTTGGAATGGGTTTCTTTGAGTAGTGAAGAAACTAATCTCCTGCTCTGCCTTTCCAGGGTCACAGTGCTCGAGGCTCTTCAGCACCACCGTCCTGGGAGGCTCCTCCAGTGCCCCAAATCTTCAGGATTATGCTCGCAGCCATGGGAAAAAGTTTGCCTCCAGCTTTCTATACAAAGATGGTGGGTGCATCTTCTGATTCTGGGGGTAGGGGCCCCGGGTCCTGGGCATTGCAGGCTTGGGACAGGTTCTGGCAGCCCCTATCTAATCAAAAGGGATATGGGGTGAAATGTCTGACATCTCACTTCCATCCCAAGGCCACTGCTTGTGACAGGCAACTGTAGAATGTAAGTTGAGGTGAGCGTTGCAGGGCTGAGAGCTAAGTGGCCCACAGGGACTCTGGTCTTACATAATGCTTGTACAGCGTCTTTGGGAATTTCTCGGTGCATATTTTTATTCTTTCACTTATAAAAACTTTCTGAAGCATCCAGTTATGGAAACCATGTATGAAGGAGTCAGAGAATGGAACAGGTTCAGAGAAGGGTGGCAAGGATGATTGGAGGATGAGGAATTAAATTCTGCAGAGATATTGTTCATTATTCTGGTTTAAGGCCAGTTCAGCTGGATTTGATTCTAAATGGCATACTCTCCGTTTCATTACCAGGCTTAATATAAGCAAAGCACCAATAATAAAAAATGCTGGTGCTGGTGTTCCGAGAAAACGTCCTTCTGGTATAAACAGTCCCAAAGTCCGGGGGCATCTCCAATTCAGTCCTTGAAGGCTTCTTGGAACAACCAGGTCTTGCTGATTGCAGGGCAAATGCTGAGTGGGAGTGGCAACCGAGAAGACCTGATTCTGGAGTCACAAAGTAGAGACGCAGAAAAAGGCCTCTCTCCCTGATCTTACTGAGTCCTGATTGAAGAACTGGACATGTCTGGCCCTGGGAAAAGAAAAACCAGGGCCACTACGTCAGTGTTCTTCAGACATTTGAAAGGGTGTCATGTGGAAGAATCCCAACAGCTGTTTTTTAATTGTTCCACAGCACAGAATAATGGACTGAATTTACAAGAAAGGCTGATTCTGATTGGTAGGAAAAGAATTCAGGATTGGAACCAAGTACTAAGGGAGGAGATGGGTTCCCCTTCCCTGGAGGGGTCCAGCTGGAGGCTAGATAACCATCTGTCGATTTCTGCAGCAAACAGGCAGGATATTGAATCTCTGGGCCTAAATGTGCCCTCCCCCCCAGGGTTCTTTGATTCCTTTCAGGACCTGTAAGAAAGGCAATCCTCTCTCTTGAACCTCTTCAGCAAAGCATTATTCAGTCTGAATTTAGGGCCTGTAGTCAGTCTAGTAGGAAATAGTACAATGCTGAAATCCTTCAAGAGCTCTGCGATGAGGTCAGTCTCTCTCCTTTTCCAGGCCTTGTTTGGTTGATGAGGCAACTCATGTTGAAGGTCCAGGAGAGGTTGGGAATGGCTGGCCAGCATGGGGATGGCTGGCCCTTTTCAGATACCCTGCCCTGTGATGCCGAAAGTGTTTTTTATGTTGTATGTGTGGGATATGCAAGGGGGAATACCGGAGTCCTCCAGATCTTGTCATGGAATTGCAGTGTTTAACAGGACTGAAGGGAGAAGTTAGACCCCTAGGCAGTATGCCTTGCTGGTGTTATGTGGATACTGAGTTAACCTACTTTCTGGGTTCATATAATACATTGAATCATAATTGACCAGACTGAGACCACAAACGAATCCCCCCATAACTAAAGCTTAAAACTAATCAAGCTTAAGCATGTGTGGATGCAGCCAGCAACCAATCTGATCAAGTATATTGAAGAAGCCCACCTGCCTGTCCTTGGCCCTTGGTTGGCCAGCCTTTGGAGTGCAGGGCCCCTGGCTTGAGCCTGGCTGACGGGAAAGGTTAAGGCTGCAGTGATGGTTGGCATCTCCCAGGGCTGGCAGCTAAGCACATTTCTTAGTGCCTGAAGCTTGGGAAGAGATGCAAAGAAATCCGCCATCTCCTTGTCTTCCTCAAGGTTTGGCTTAGGCTTCTCTGCTGTTCTAAAGATGCTAGACTGTACTGGATAGCCTTGGCCTTTCAATACCCTTTTCTTAAACAATACAAATTTGGGGACTCGGTGAGCTTAGCCTGGTCCCCCATCTGCCTCTCCTTCTGGGTGCCCCTTGTGCTGCAGCTTGGGCAGTTGGCCAGCTGGGCCCCTAACTCAAGGCACGTTTTTTCTTGTTTCCCCAGAGCTCTTGTCTATGCCAGCCATAAAGCGATTTTCTGTGTCATTTGCAAAGCATCCAACTAATGGTACGTTTGCTTCTTAATTTGAGACTCTCTTCCCTGTTCCACCCCCTCCCCGTGCACTTGCTGTATCCCTCACCTCTTGCTGTGTGTTTGTGACTGGTTACTGTGTGATGTTGTGTTGTCTCTGCAAATAACTACACTGCCTGCTCTTCTCGGAAGGAGGAGACAAGGATCACTCTGCTGCCACAGGTGTAAGGGGCAGAGACAGGTCACTTCTGCACTTCTGCAAGAAATTACGTCCACTGACCCTGCATGAAGTCACCAGGGGTTGAGGTTAGTTGTAAAGAGACCTGACTTTGAGGAGGGGGAAGTGTCTCCTGCCCTGTGGAGGTCCCACAAAATGCAGTGGGAAGGGGCAACATGCCCATCCCCAGGAGGCAGCCCCCCCATCCCTCTGCCAGTTCACATTGCCAGGCAATAAGAAGCTCCTTTGCCTTAGCATACGAAGGTTTTTCTGGAACATGGGGGAAAGATTCTGGAAATGGTCATTCCCAAACTTTTCCCCAAGAACAGGAACGGGAGCCTTTTCCTGGTCAAGGGTCCCTTTCAACATGGAGGGAGGGCTGAGTTTTCCAAAAACAGCAGAGTCGTGGTGGAGCAGGAGAGGGACCTACTTTAGGGCTGATACTCTGAAAGTAGCCTTTTCAGGAGTCATGTTTAGAGTGGGCTTCCGAGCCATAAAAAGGGGGTCTGAGATCACCCTTGAAACACATACCTGAATCTCAGTCCTGTTTGTAAGCTTTTGTATTCCTCATCATGTCATATTTTATTTTGTGACAGAAAGGGGAGCATATGACAAAATGGGGAGACAACACAAGTATGCCACTCTGTCTTGGAGCTGTCATATTGATCTGGATACTTCAAAATTAATTGTTTTTACCTGAACCTCTCAAACATGGCTGAAGGACATAACAATCGAACTTTTTGGTTTTTATGTGTAAAAATTGGGTCATACTCTCAGAAGGCCAAGGAATGTGCTTGCAGATGCCTGAGAAAGCCGGCCTCTTTCCTCATGAGGTATTAGAAGGGTTTGCTCCCTCTGAGAGTGCTTTCTAAGTACCTGGTAGAATTGCTTCAGCAGATGTGGTTTGAGGCCCAGCCAACATCCCTGTGAGGCAGCGCATGGTATCCTCAAGTTGGAGGAAGCTCCAGGTGGCCTTGTTTCAAAGCTTGCCAAGATCTCAATTCTTATATGGCCAATTCTTCTCTCAAAGGATGGGAGATATCCTGAGATAACTGATTGGGTGACCTTAGCTTGCTGCAAGTACTGAGGATGAAAGATTGCAAAAGGAATGAAATCTAGAGCAGTGTTGCACTGTTGGTATCTGAATCTCACCACAATGGCCATAAACAACCCAGAAACTTGCATTTTATGTTGTAAAAGGTAATAAGTAGAGCTTCTGAGAGTTTTCTGTAGATTTTCTCTAGTTTAGGCCAAAAAGAGGGAAGTTGTTAGCTGGTCATCACCTGGGTTGCTCTTTGGTTGCAAGATCAACAGACTTCCTTTGACAGCGACTGGCTCTGACATGGATCAACTCCAATTTTGCTCAGCTGAGTCTGCACTCCTTGTGGGGTGGGGAGACCCTTCTGTGAAGTTTCAGGTTGAAGGAACTCCAAGGAACCCTGAGTAGATTTTTTAACATGGGAAGATTGCTTTGTGGTGCCCAAGCAAAGCTTGGAGGGGGCCAAAAATTGCTGGGATGGCCAAGAAAAGGGTGTGTCCTCAGCTTGGCATCTCTCCAGAAGCGCTTGAAGTTCCTCTTCTCTCTGCTTTGCCTGTTCCGTGATGAGGATGTGGATGGGAGAGGCCTTTCCCCATCTGACTGCACCCTTGTGCCTCAGCCCAGCCTGTTTCTGCTTTCTGTGGTAGTCCCTCTGTGTACTTTGCTTAGGCGACAGGGTGGCGGCAACAGGGTGGCGGCGGCAGGGCCTCCTTTGCCTCCCCCCACCTGCAGTTCTTCTGGAATAAAAGAGCCATGGCAGGAGTTGGTGTACTTGCTGAGTATCAAGGACAGGCTGGCAGGCAGAGGGTGTCCCCAGGACAGGATCTCTTCTTTGAGCCTTGCCTGCTTTCTGCCCCTGGCATCCAGAAGACCTCTCAAAGCTGCGCTGTTGGCTTTCCTATTCTCTCTCTCTCTTTTTTTAATAGTAATTTTATTACAGATTACAGTTAAAAAGATAAAAACTAATACAAAGAAAAATTAAAGAATAAAAGAATAGAAAATGCAGAAAAAATATAAAAGAAAGAAAAAAGTAAGAATATAGTAAAGAAAAAGAAAAGAAATATATAAAGAAGTGACCTCCCCCTTCATCAGAACAAGTATAAACAATTTTAGTAACTTATTGCCTTCTCTTAAAATCAACAAAGATCTCTTCTTCCCATATCCCATCTCTTATCTATAAATAAATCC